TGAGGCTGTTGTTTGGACAACTCATATTTTGAACAGATGTCCAACTGCAGCCAACCAAGGAAAGACACCTCAGGATCTTTGAAATGGTTTTCCCCCTTCAGTAGAGCATTTCAAGGTGTTTGGGTACACAACATATGTGCACATACCTGATCAGCACAAGAAAAAGCTAGATGATAAAAGCCACAAATGTGTACGCTTTGGAATATCTTCTGAAATCCAAAGGGTACAGACTCTATGATCAAGCTGCTGAGAAGATTATTGTGAGCAGAGACGTGGTGTTTGATGAGCATCTAGCTGGATGGTCCTGGAACTCAGATATCACTCATGTCCTAACTAAAATCACTTGGGAAGAAAGTGATGAGGATATGTGGGAGTTAGACACTGAAGATCACAAAGATACAGCAGAAACTGGAACTGCCAGTTCCACAGGAGCATCTCCTAGTGAGGAAAGCCCTCATTAGGGTAGCTCTACAGGTCAGACAAGTCAATCAAAAGAAGAAGAGGTGGAGGAAGATGTACCTGATACACTTGGATTGCCTCAAGGAGAATTGACCCCAAGGGTTTTTAGGCTTCCTGTACATTTCGATGGATTTGAGATGGGATGTGTGGTAGTTGATTGGGCTGTTATGATGACTATCTCAGAAGATCCACAGACCTTTGAGGAAGCAGTACAAGAGGAGAAGTGGAGGATAGCCATGAACCAGGAAATGGGTTCAATAGAAAAGAATTGTACATGGGAATTAACTACATTACCACCTGGTGTTGTTCCTATTGGGTTGAAGTGGGTTTATAAGGCCAAACTGAATGAAGCATGAAGAGTGGATAAAGAAAAGTCCAGACTTGTGGTGAAGACTATGCACAACAACATGGGATAGATTATACTGAGGTATTTGCAGCAGTGGCAAGGTGGGATACAATCATATCATTTTTAGCATTGGCTGTTTTTCATGGTTTCACAGTCTATCACTTAGACGTTCAGAGTACCTTTCTCCATGGCACCTTAACTGAGGATGTTTATGTGACTTATCCTGAAGGATATGTGATTCTAGGAGAGGAGGACAAAGTTTACAAACTGAAGAAGGCACTTTATGGATTAAAACAGGCTTCTAGAGCCTGGTATAGCAGAATAGAAGATTACTTCGAGCAAGCTGGGTTTGAGAAGTGTTCATATGAACATACTCTGTTCATCAAAAGAAGAGGATCAGATATTCTGCTGGTAAGCCTTTATGTTGATGATGTCATGTATACAAGCAGCAATGCCTCTATGATTGAAGAATTCAAAACCTCTATGAAAACTGAGTTTGAAATGTCAGATTTAGGCAAAATGAGGTATTTTCTAGGCGTATAGTTCAAAGTAAAGGAGGAATTTTCTGTGCCAACATAAATATGCAAGAGAAGTTCTCACCAGATTCAAGCTACTGGAATGTAATTTCGTCAAAAATCCATTAGCTCCTGGAGCTAAGCTTTCTGCGGAAGGAGATAGAGTACTTATAAATGGAACTCAGTACAAATAGCTCATTGGGAGCCTATTGTACCTCACTACTACACGACCAGACATAATGTTCTCAGTCTGTTTGTTGAGCATATACATGGGAGCTCCAATGAAACAACATATGCTAGCTGCGAAGCAGGTGCTGAGGTATCTGAAGTAGGGATGGCAATGGGGCGGGTTTGGGGCGGGTTTGTCTAAACCATCCTCATCCCCATCTTCAAATATTCTAACCCATACCCGCCCCATACCCATGCGGGAGAATGTTCGGCAAACCCATCACCATACCCATGGGTTTCGGGTACCCATGGGTAATACCCGTACCCGTGCATCCAACACTATTATCCAAAAATTCACAAGAAAAGTTTTAACTACAACTCTAAACGTACCTATTATATCACGAATTCAACAAAACACGATCATTTTCTTAATATGGTTCAAAGAATATGATCCTAAAACATTCATTAATATTTAATACATAATATAGAGTATAATATTTTTCAAATTATTATGTTCTAACTCTTATACATCTACTAAGTAATAATTAACTAACATAATTTTGTTAACAAAGAGGAAAGTGAAAGAGTGAAAGGAGAATTGAAGGAAATGAATTAGGTTTTGATTAAAGTGGTCACTCAATTGCATTTCTACTATTTATTTCCTTGAGTTATCCTCATCGCCATTGATAGATTACAATTTGATCCACATGTTTTTGTATATGTGAAGAAATTCTCTTGGTGGGGCGGATATGGGTATGAGTATGGGGCGGGGGAGGCTAAAACAATACCCGCCCCATACCCATCAAACTTTTTGCGGGTTTTACCCATACCCGCCCCATACCCGGTCAAAGCGGGGATTACCCGCGTTGACTGAGTCGGGGGCGGTCGGGTACCCGCGGCCATGGGTTTGATTGCCATCCCTAATCTGAAGGGTACCCTAACTCATGCCTCATGGTACTTGGTACAAGAAAGGAATGGGAGGAGAAGACGGTTTGGTTGGCTATACGGATAGCGATTATGTAGTGGATTTAGATGACATAAAAAGCACGAGTGGGTATGTTTTCTTTCTTGCTGGAGGGGCTGTTTCATGGTCTTCCAAGAAACAGCCTGTGGTGACCATATCCACTACTAAAGCAGAATTCATAGTTGCAGCTAGCTGTGTTACTAAATGCATATGGTTGAGGAGGATATTGGAACCGATGGAGTGCAAATCAAGCGTGCAAGGAGGAACCAGGATCTTTTGTGACAACAACTCTACAATTAAGTTGTCCAAAAATCTTGTTCTCCATGGCAGGAGTAAACAAACAGATCTTAGATTCCATTTCTTGAGGCGTCTGGTCAAGACCGGAACAATGGAACTGGTGCATGTGGGACAACCAACCAAGTTGCAGACACAAAGCAGTTAAAATCGGGATTCTACCTAAAATCGAAAACCAAGGTAAAATCGGAATCGTAAAATCGAATCGTAAAATCGTAGGATTTTAAGTTCCATATAGAAACAAGCACTTAATAATATCAATAAGATAAATAATTAATAACACAAAGACACATAACCACTTAATATGATAATTCTCAAGATTAATATTCTAATTCAATACAAATACAAACCGACTAACTTGCATCTAGACTTCTAAAGTTCTAGTAATAGTAGTTAACTTAGGACTTGAAAATTAATAGTACAGCTCACATAAGGTCATTTGGATCAATATTAATATCCAAGTCTTCATCCTCGTCATCATTGCCATCCTTGAAATTGCAACTATCCTCCACACCATCATTATCATCATCATAAAATCCTTGTTGAATTGCTTGCCCAATGATATCAATATCATTAGTTTTGCTCCCATGAGCACTTGAATTATCTTCGACACTAACCATATTCGGACCATTGCTACCATCTTCCACAGGTAATTCAGTAATATCAACATGTTCTTCAACCAACACTTGACCCTCATGTTCATTCTCTGCTCCCTCTTCAACTATCCATTCATCATCAGAATCAATCTCTGCAAATATATCCTCCACCTTTTTACATGATCTCCGCATCAACCTCGAGTTATACATCACATACACAAGGTCGTTCATCTTCTTCTGGAGCAAGCAATTTCTCTTTTTAGTATGAACCTGCAACAATTACCAGTAGTTGGAGACTGATTCAAAACAAACATCTTCTAACATCATTCAAAACAAACATGACAAGCAAAACAAACATGACAAACAAAACAAAGACATGGGGAATAATTACTGGCGAGCTAAAAGGTAAGAAATCACGAAAGTTTATATTCTAGGAGAAAGAGCAAAAACCAACTAATACAACTAAATCACTTTCTCCAAACTGCTTGAACCTGCACATCAAAATCAGCATATGCAGCATAGCAATTACCAGTAGTACACATACATATGAGTTATTTAAACATACAAAAACCTTGAAAACTTACTCTCTCAAACACACTCCAATTTCGTTCACACCCAGAGGCACTACAAGTCAAGCTTAGAATCCGAATAGCAAACTTTTGAAGCTCCGGAACATCATCCCCAAAATCCGACCACCAATCTGCAGGATGCTTTCTATGTAACAAATCCATTGCTCCATAAGAATTGAACATTCCCGAAGCACGGTGAAATTCTGTTAGTTGTTCCATAATTTTCAGTTTCTCATCACGGCCTCTTGCTAATCTTTCCACTGTTTCATATAACCCAACTTTTAATTGCTTGTCATTATGGTTGAATCCTTTAGCATGGTGAACTCGAGGATTCAACCAATGAGCAGCCAAGTGCAAAGGCTTCCCCATCTGTTCTTCCCACCTTTTATCAATTATTTTGATAATTGGTTTATATCTGCAAGAAGACAAAATGGCAATAGAAAAAGAAAATTAAGCAGTAGCAGCTAGAAGCTAAGAAGGAAAGCAACAACTTTCATAAATAAACAAAGACAAAAAGAAGCAGTAGCAATAGAAATAAAAACGCAGCAGCAACATACATAAAAACCCAACAACATACATATTAAAAAGAAGCAGCAGCAATAAAAATAAAAATGCAGCAGCAGAATTGAAGAACCAGCAGCAACATACATAAAAACCAGTAGCAGTAGACATTAAATTGAAGAACCAGCAGCAACATACATTAAAAATTTAGTAGCTCTTACCTTTTTTCCATGTTACTGAAGTTACTTTTAATCTTCAATTTTGCTTCACACAATTCTTGGAACAAAAATGGCATTGCTGGCTTCTCTTCTCCATCAACAAATCTTAAAACTTTGACCACAGGCAGAGCAGCTCGGAGACAATTCACCACATTAGTCCAAAACCTTCCATCTAAAGCAATTCCTTGAATCCTTTTCCCCTCTTGAATGCTTGCAAATGAACTCTTCCTCCATTTTTCTGAAGCAAACATAGTCATTAAGTTGCCCTTTTGTTCACTGAGGCGAGCAAGACTCAAATACGAAGTTGCAAATCTTGTAGCACCAGCTCTGACCAGATCTCTATCATTTGTAAACTCCTTCATCATAGCAATCAGATTAGTTCTTGCATAGATGAAATTCGTAATCTTCTTTCCCTTCGAAATGGTTGTCTTGTGACCGGTAAGTGTTCCTCAAAATCCTCTAGCACTAAATCCAAACAGTGAGCTGCACACGGAGTCCAAAACAAGTGCTTTCTCTTTGCCATTAGTCTTTCTCCAGCAGCTTTATAAGCAGATGCATTATCGGTGACAACTTGAACAACATGTTCTTCTCCTACCTTCTCTACAATATTATCCAGCATCTGAAATACCTTTTCTGTATTCTTAATGACGCCTGACGTATCTATCGACTTAACAAAGCTAGTGCCTCTTGGGCAATTGACCAAGAAATTACAGATTGATCTTCTCTTCCTATCAGTCCATCCATCGGACATGATAGTGCAACCCACTGATTTCCATTCCTCTTTGAACACAACAAGTTTTCCTTCTACTTCCTTAAGCTCTTCTTTTAACAAAGTCTCTCTTAGCTCATGGTATGATGGTGGTTTAAAACCTGGACCATGTCTAGCAACGAGCTCAAACATTTCAGCAAACAAATCATCTCTAGAAGCATTAAAAGAAAGGGCGTTGTTGTAGAACCATCTTGCTATACCCCTACAAGCATCCTGTCGAAGATCCTTTTTCAACAATTGGCTCATGGTTGATTGACGACGATTTGGAAGAGGCGGATTGCTATTGGAAATGTTCTTTCCCCTGTTAGGTTTAGGAAGCATACTGGACTGAACTGACTCTACAGGAACAGCAGCTTCGCTACTGTTAACCCCAAGACCAGGACGAATCAAGTTTTTTCGTACCTCTTTTGCTTCCAAATTGAAGTCCAAGAGCTCCAGCATTTGTCGTTTCACATCATCAGGAACACTCGGACAGGCCACCGCGTTTTGCTTCGTTCCGGCGAGATGATGCTTGAGACGAAATGCCCCACCAGAGAGCAGCTTAGAGCAGAACTTACATTTAGAAGACTTTGCATCTGCATTTACATCGAACGCGTACTGCCAAGCTGGGTCGATTCTACTCCCAGGTTCATTCCTCTTTCGTTTTGATAGCTTTTCCATGGATTGAGTTGTTGCGGCAGAGGCGTCATCAGCAGGCATAATTCTCGGCTACTGAGGGTATCGACAGACAGAGCTCAGAGAATGGAAGGTAAAGGGATTTGCTCTAGGGTTTTTTAGTTGGGGAAGTAATTGAACCGTCAATAGAAAGTGCCCGACTTTGGGAAAGAAATAGTAGTCGACCCGACCGGTTCAATTGGTCTAGAATGTGCAATTTAACCTGGAACTCAAAATCGGTAAAATCCCTTTAAAATCTAGATTTCACCGATTTTAAGGATTTTGATCCCGATTTTAACCGATTTTAAGGTCCGCCGATTTTATAGTAAAATCAGGATCGGAATAGCTAAGTAAAATCCTAAAATCCTACGATTTTAGGATCAAAATCCCGATTTTGACTGCTTTGTGCAGACATCATGACTAAAGCTGTTGAAGATAGAAGTTGGAGGATCAAACCATAATTAGTCATTCATAGTTGTTGCGTTTGAAATAAGAGGAGCAACATCAAGTGGTGCGGCGCTGTATTGAGTCCATCGTTCAGAGTCATGTTTATTTGGTCCAGTTGTTTGGTTGTGTTACATTTGAGTCCTGTCCATTTACTTAGCCGTCAAGTTAGGAGTGTTGTTCAAGTTAGTTGATGTAGTTGCCGGAAATTAGGAAAAGGGGTAGTGGGATACTGATAACAGTCGTGTGAGTTTGTTAGAGAGTCTTTAGCTTTGTATTTAAACCTTTGAGTATCAATATAATCACTATCAATTTGCCCCCAAATATGTTAACAACAAATTGATTCCCATCAAAATTATTAATCAAATATATGAAACTAAATATTTTTAATATGTCAGAAGCTCCATAAAGCATTTTAGAAAAAAGCAAACAATTGTGTCACCACTCCTGCAAAACAAATAGAAACAATCCTGATTATAATAACAACAGATTGGGGAAATGTGGTGCCCAGAAAGCACATAAATAAATTGAAACAAGAGACGTCTGCGCGACCGATAATCATACTACAAGTAACGAAATGAGCTAGGTCTGGGTTGTCAAATAGTGAGTGAATGAGGTGTGTTTAATCAAGTGATCATTTTGATAGTTGAAGGTTTGGTAGAAGTGAGTGAGGGAGCCTAATTGGGAGGGTTAAATGCGCACTAGCCAAGTAGCTGTACTTCAATTTTCCTTGGTATTTTAGTATATATATATATCACAATCTCGTAATCTCTAATACCAAATAATTAACAATTAAAATTGAATTTTAATCTTAATCTCTAATACATGTGTTCAGTAATACCAAATATTGCCAGTTTCAATACTTACGATAGTAGGTAAATATCCCAAATATTGACAGTCCCTATGTTATAAAACAATTACACCCAAATATGTCATCCCAAAGACCCGGTCCACCGTAATATCCATGATGTTATAGTAACATAAACAACTATTAGGAATGTGAAAAACATCCATTCCTTGGGAATGGACTAATCCACTATAATTATGGGCACCCATGGGACGCCAGAACATTACATATGAAGGAAGCATCATGATTACTACTACAGACACGTGGAGAAAAACAAGGGGTTCAATGAATTTAACAGAGGCGAAAAGGTGATTGGGACTTGCTTTAATTTGCAAGAGGAAGACATTTTATTCAACGTTCAAAATGATAGTGACACCCAATATCGTTACAAGAATCTGAATCGTGGAGGAATTCCAAGCAAGTAACCCACTAATCTACTCTACTCGCCGGTCTAATCTTGAAAACGGGAGGAACAACACAAATCTCACATAATTGACCACCACCGTCCGGAGAGGAATGTTCTTTTCCGAACAAAACCATCTTTGGAAACAACTAGCTAGCTAGGGTGATTATTTACAAAAAATATTTTTTTCACTTAAAGTACTACATGAGCTATTTTAGATATTTGGATCTCTTTACATAGCTTTGGTTCATAGTACATAGCAGATTATCTGGATGGGCCGTACTTTGGTAGATAGTAGTTGAGTGCGAGCCTGCGAGGTGACCATCCCAGTATTTGGTCACCATTTGTACAGTTCCATTGATACCATCCAACACTAAGTGCATGATGATAATTTCATATCATGGATACCATCCAACTCTTGAGTGAATGGTGACCATCTCATATCATGGACATCATTCAATCTCTTAGTGAATGGTGACCATCCCACGTTATGGATGTCAAGAACCAGTTGATCCCAATAACTCGAGTTGTTGGGAGAAGGTTATGTTGGATCTTATACAGGCTCGTGTATGGTGTTTAACCAGTTCCTTACACGCCCCCCTCAAACGAAAGCCGACTCATTGGCTTGAAGTTTGCACAGGCCCGCCATACCATGTGCTTGAAAGACAACGATTAATATTGGGGGTCGCGATGACTTGAACACGTGACCTCAAGGACAACCAGATCTGGATACCATTCAACCTCTTAATGAATGGTATTATCATCTCTTATCATAGATATCATCCAAATCCTAAGCGGATGGTGTCATCGCACTACATGGATATCATTCAGAGCCTAATTGAATGCTACTGTCCAGTCTCATGGTTGGCATCCTCGTTCGAATAGTATTTGTCGAGGTGTGAACTATAATATTAATCGTCATATTCATAGAAGTCAGACGCAACCCATCTACCTATTTTTCCACAATTAACAGTGAATCAGTGATAGCCCACCGAAATAAAAGAGCTGCGCCGTCCTGCCTGCCGGGGAGAACATGCGCGCCCGGGCGTGGCACCGTCGATGGGATGGCTGTGGGCTGTGGCATGGCGCCATCTCTTGCGTAAGCCCCAACTTCGTGAAAGAAAAGGCGAGGGAGGAAAAGGGACTCTACTTAGGATGGTAAAAGGGAAGAAAAGAAGAAGGGGGTCCGGTCCTGTATGTTCGATGTCTCTTTCAGTAGTCTTCAGAACAAATTAAACTGCAGCAGCAGCAGTCAAGAGAATGAATATAATGCTCTTTTGGCTTCCATTTTGATTCCTACTTCCTACCTTGTGACCTAATAAATCTATCTAACTACTCAAAAGCATAATGGAAGCTTCAATTGGAAAGTGATGTGAAGCAAAACAAACCCTCTCCAAGGCAGGGCCCCTCCCTATTTAATTTTTAGCTATATATACCAACCAAATATGATTGAACTTTCTAGCTAGCTAGCTAGACAGAATAATATCCCTTCTTCAATCCCTTGATATACCAGAGGATCCATATTAAAGTGAAGTGTGCAAAATATGATAAACTACAAACAATGAGTTATATTAGAATTGAAAAAAAGTAAACTATTAAGTTATATTGTGAAGAATCAGTTAAGGGGTCATTTGGAGAAGAAAAAAAAATCCTAAAATTGGGCATTTTGACTGTGCTAATGTGGATGATCTAAATTTAGTGGAAATTATGTTGTTAGACTGTACTCTTCCCTTTGAGACTCGTCGATCTTTTTATTCAAGTTTGGAGAGCATTGTGGTGCGAGTCTGGCTAAGTTCAGAGATTGCATTAAAGTCTTGTAACATGCAGTGTGTTGGCCACTCTGGAGCGAATGAAGCAATAAAATATTTACAGATATTAAAACTTCTCTCTTGTGTCACAAGATCATCCAAACGGTTGGAGTTGAGTTCGAGCGTATAATTTTTTTCCGGACATACATGTACAACAATGAGGGTGGATTAGGGATGGTTTATTTGATTTTGTTTCTTGTCCCCCTTCCCCCATATTATAGGTTTTAGTTGGTGCTTTGTTTGTTCAACTGCATTACCTCCAATTTTGTTTTTCTTTGGACTCGTCCGGAAAATTGGATTCTAAGTCTCATTACAAAGATTTTAACTTTTTGGAGTGTAGAAAAAAAAAATAAAGTTTGTCTTGTTTGATAAATATTCTATTAATCTATCTACCCAATAAATAAAAGTCAAATGAGAAAATTTGAAGCTCCATTTCAAATTTCCTGCATCTAAAGTGAAAGTAGGAAGGACATTTAGGTCTTCACAATTACTTTTTTTATTCATTAAAAAGACACTTACTAGGATTCGAACCATGACCACTTTAAAGAAAAGCAAAGATCATAATCAATCACACTAAGTATTTTTGTTGTATCTTTTTAAATTAAAAACATATAATCGCAGAGAGGAAAAAAACCTTCCCCCATTTCAAATTCCCTGCTCCATGAGCGTTTGTAGGAAGGGTAGAATAGGGAGTGTCAATTTTTTTCTTTTTCCTCTGTGGAACTGGCCAACTTACCGTACACATGCGGATTTAAATGGGTCCAGGAGTGTCAATTTTTTTTCTTTAAGTCATTTTATTTCTCCGCAGTGTAAAATCTACACAATAAATAAAATCCTAACGAGAAAACTTGAAGCCCCATTTCAAATTTCATGCATCCAAAGTGAAAGTAGGAAAGACATTTTGGTCTTCACAATTACTTTTTTTTATTTTTTAAAAAGACACTTACTAGGATTCGAACCATGAGCATTTTAAAGAAAAACAAAGATCATAACCAATCACACTAAGTATATTTGTTGTATCTTTTTAAGTTAAAAACATATAATCGCAATGAGGAAAAACACTTCCCCCATTTCAAATTCCCTGCTCCATGAGCGTTTGTTGGAAGGGTAGAATAGGGAGTGTGCCACTTTTTTTCTTTTTCCTCTATGGAATGGGCCAACTTACCGTACACATGGGGATTTAAACGGGTCCAGGAGTGTCAATTTTTTTCTTTAAGTCCTTTTATTTCTCCGTGGTGGTAAAATATATATGAAAAGGCAAAAACAATACACCTTTTTATTGCTAAAAAGAAAAAAAAATAACAATAAACTAATGCATGGATTCTAATGGGCTAACCACTAATCATAAAATAAAATAGTTGAATGGGCCTGACCCACACGGGATTTGCCCATCAAGTAAAACAAATAAACATCATGGGTTTGTCATTCTAAAACAAGCTATTTTCTCTAGCATAATATATATTATGCTATTATTTTATATCTTAGTGGCTAAAATATAATGTAT